TGTTGCTGCTCTGTTCATTTTCTTTCCTGTTTGTTTACTGCATTTCAGTTTTCTCATAGTGTCTGTTTTATCATCCAAGGAAGTTGCAGAGACCCCAGCCAAGAAAAGCAGGCGTGGAAAGGAGCCTTCTGTGGCTCACAGTCCATCCCTTCGACAAGGAAAACAAGCTGCTGAAAGTAATCCTAGAGTTATATTCACTGGACTCGTTGATAAACAGGGTGAAAAGGTAGATTGTTCAGACTCCCTTTTTAAACCTACAAGGCTTATTTGGTATTGAATACATTTAGAAACTGTCATTTCAGCAAAGCTATGAATTATTTCTTTGTCTTAATTTATGTTTCTTTGTAGGTGGTGACAAGTCTTGGAGGTGAACTGGTGAATAACATCCATGACTGTACGCATCTGGTGACAGACAAGGTGAGAACCAAGAATTGCTATTAAGAACAGTTCATAGGAGTTTTCAATAGCTTGCAAATAGTTTTGATCAAGTGTAGACAGTAGAGTTTTTAAAACCATTTAGTCTAGTCTAGGTCTTCCCTTCTGTCAATAATTTCTTTAGTTGAGATAACCTTTTTTCCACAATTTGAAACACTGTTTTTGAAAGCACCAGTTAAGGTTAGGGAAACTGCTGTCTGATACTGAGGATAAGATGTAGCAGTCTACTTAACAAATCAACTACAATAATATTTTCCATGGTCTGTACTTATACCTACCATAAAAATAAGGTCAAAATGTACTTCAAAACTAAAGTGGAACAGAGTTTTAAACATTGGCATCATTTCTCTGCTGTCCTTTTTTGATGATTTTTGATGTCCATTTCCGGTTCAAGGTTCTTGGAAAGTTGTGTGCGAAAGGAAGTGAAAAACAAATATTGCACCACCATCATGTTATTTCCATGGTCTGTGCTCTTATCGACCATAGCTCTCAACCAATCAACACGCGAGAAATCACTCATATGTTGTAAAATTTCTCTTGACATGTAGGTGAGACGCACAGTCAAGTTCTTATGTGGATTGGCCAGTGGACAAGTAATTGTTTTGCCATCATGGCTGGATGCCTGTAAGAGAGCCAAGAGTTTTGTTGGTAAGGCTTGTGGTAACTATAAGATGCTAAACAATGTTTTAGAAAATACAAACCATATCTTATATATCTTACCATATCGGTTTTGGTTCTTCTTTAATATAGATACAACACCATTCCTTGTCAAGGATAAAGAGGCAGAAAAACAGTACAAATTTGATCTCCATCGGTAAGAGAGTACGTAGTCCTTTAAGTTATATCTAAGCAATCCCTGAGTGTTAGTTCACTCATCTGAGTCCTTGAAGTACTCTACAGTGGAACCTCAATATAACGAACCTCACCCCAGTAACAGTAAAATAATATATGAAAAATAACCTTGAAATAACTGAACTTCGTTATTTTGAACCTATTTGCCAGTCTCTTGGCTCTTCATTATATTGAGGTTGTACTGTATAGCAAAAAAAATTGAACGCGGGGAACCTCACAACAATAAAATAAAACTGGGTGGCACTATAGCAAAATCCATAATGGTGATCATGATCACTGGAGTGGGTAGCTCACTGAATTTGTTAACAGTTTGTTTTATTAGGGCTTTGATTAAATTGACCATTGTTTTTAGATCTCATGAAGCTGCTCTCAGTCAGGGGTTACTTGATGGATACAAGGTTCACGTAACAAAGAAAGTTTTACCTGATCCTTCACAGATGAAAGGTATGTAACACTCATAAATTAATATTTATACCAGCTGTTACCCTGATTTGGAAAGCAGCTAAAATCCAGAGAGCAAACAAGCAAAAATTTAATACAAGGACAGTTTAAGGAGGATAATGAAGGTACTCGTTGACTGACTGAAAAGGGATAGGAAATGTTAGTAGTGAACTACCTTTGAGCCATGTTGATGAAAATGAATTGTTTTCAGAATTTTTGACATATGTAACCATGCTGTATGAATCAAAATATTGGTGGTTTTCACACTAGAGACGTACTATCCATCTCAGACAGGTTATCCGTTGGATGTATTAATTGGTATCAAACGGTAATCCGCCTTAATTTTAAAAAAAAAGGAAGCACTTTAAATTTTGGACAAATAATTCGACCTACTTTATCTGTCAATTTTGACAGATGGACAATCCGTCTCTAAGTTTACAAATGGCCATGGTATTTGCTCATGCAGTATTACAGATATAAGGGGTGACACTCCACTATAGGGAGCTGAAGCAACAACGTTTTTGAGCATCACTGAGCAGTGGTTTGGTTTGAGTAAATCGTCTTTACAAGAGAAAAGAAACTTAGCAATACAAATTTGTTAGCATCAAGGCATATAAAAAGGGGGAAGGTCCCAATTCCGGTTGACGTGCATGGCTCAAAAACATCTTTCCCTAAGCTCTCTAAATACTAATATATACTTGCAGACCTTCTAGATACTTTATTTATGTGGTTTGGAAAATTAAAATTAAAAACAAAAAATTATGACAATAATTTTGCATTTAAATGGGTATTGTTAAGTGTATCTGAGCATTTGCTCCTTTGTAGTCATCTCTTTCTTCGATAAATGCTCATTTTGGGACAATAGTGAGTATTAAATACCCAAATATTTCTTAAATAAACACTTTTCTCTTCTCAGATATCATTCAAAGTGCTAAAGGAGAGGTATGTAAAAAGTTATGTTTGGATTATCTTATATAACATGTTATCTGAGCCACCTATTAACCTGAGAAAACAGCCAACGTTTTGAGATGCCATCACTAGTTTCCCTGCAAAATGAAGTCTGAAGACTCTATACTGATGACATCAATGCCGAGATCTGGGTAGTGCTTTTAATCGGTTGAAGCAAATTTCCACTGCAGCACAACCAATCAAAAGCACGACACAAGAAGATCTAGGTAGTTACATGTCTTCAGTATGGAATTTCTGCACTCATTCCTCAGACATCAGGGAGCTTAGCAACAACGACAGTTATGGCTATGAAAACGTCACTTGAAAAGAGAATTCGCACTGCTTTAAACTGTATGGCACTCATCCATCTCTTGTTCAAATGGGGTTTCACCAAGGTGGTCGCTTACAAGAGTGGTTGCAAGGAGAGCTTCAACTGAAGTGCATTGCACTGTAGCTAATTTCAGGATGTACTAGGCCTTTAGATAAGGGCAATGATGTAAGATTATGAAAACTGAAAATTGTTCTGCATATTGCTGTTGCCTAGTTCTTGTCCAGTATGCCAAGAGGAAAAGAAGACAAAGTTTTTGTGATCTCCTGCAAGGAGGACAGAGGTGTTTGTAAAAAGCCACTTGAGGCTGGTATCCCTGTCGTCAGCGCTGAAGTGCTTCTGACAGGGATACTAAGACAAGAGCTTAACCTGGAGGAGTATCCTTTCTTTTATGGTTTAATAATAGTACATTGTAGCACAAGCTGGTTATTATGGTGTATGCCTATGGAGGTCCAGCTTTATAATAATTTTTTGTAGTATACACTTAAGTGAAACCTCTATTTTAGCAGACTGCAAGGGATCTATACTATCGAGACACAGTATCCTGTGGGTCTCTTTCTAATACAGATTTTTACTCTATAAGGAAAGGGAAATGCAAAAACGTCCAAGCCAGACTATTTCAGCAAGTATCTTTATCCTTTACTGTAATCCAGATTTAGATTATTTGAAGATGAATTGTCAGATGCATCTCAAGATACAACCAGCTCGAGTGGAACAAACAAAAGAAGGCGAGAGCAATCAGAAACTGCTACCCCACCATCTGCAGCAAAAAAAAAATCATCAGGCTCAAAACGAAGGAAAAAATGAGCAGTTTATACAGTTTCATGCAGTGGAATAACGTCAACGTCAACACATTCCTATGGTTGTATCACTGCAATCAGTCAATGTATACTGAAATGGTTTGTTACAGGAGATGTTGTTAGACAAGAGGTCAAACCAGGGAGATCATAAAAGTCTCCTTGGAATGTCATAGTTCAAGTTGATGTTAGTTTTATACTGCCAGGCCTTTTCTTCTGTAGGTGCTGAAGCCAGGTTAAATTTTGTGGATGTTCATTGTTTTACCAAAGACTGCTTGACAAATGAAGGGAAAATTAAAGCTTGAGACATAATACAATCACATTTACATGTAGATACTTGCTGACAATGTTGTGAAAGAGCACAATCATGGGTTCTTTCAATTGTTTTAAAATATTTTAGCATTCCCTTTCTTAGCGAATACCTGTACAATGTAACTTTCTGGTCAATTATTGTTACATAAGATGCTAGTTTTAATCTAAAGAGAAGGAGCTACCAGTAAAGGTGCTATCAAATTTTCTTCACAAGTAGGAAGGCAAGATCGTTTCTGTAAGAAAGAGAGGTACTTTGTTCTTTAGGTCTTGTGTTTTGTTTTCTTAAGGGAGAAGGGGGTAGGGCGAGTAGGGAACCATGAAGGAACCTACATACCTCGGGAAGCTAACTGCACCATGAATATGAAATTCTCATCACTTAATATACACCTTATCTGGTACTATGTTCTTTATTGTAAGCAGTTCTACAAAACGGTAAAATATGCCATGTAAGACAATTAATAATAATAATATTATAATAATAACTGAAGAAACCAATAAAGAAACAGGCTTGCTTGATTTAGTGCAATTTTAAGCAAAAAGGTATTTCACATGCATTTTTGTGATGACCTGGTTTTTTTGGAACAATGTAGGTTCCAAGAGAGAAAAGACACTTGCACCCCTTTTCCGGCTGACTGTTTTGATTTGTTTGATATTTGTAAAAATAATACTAAATATAATAAAAGTTAGTGACAATGGAAAAAGTATTGTTATTTTGCCATAATTATGGCATGAAGATTAGTGCTCCAGAAAGTTACAATTTTCAATAAAAATTTGACCACATAAAAATTGTCTACTGTACAGCTACGGTGGTTGTCATAAAATTCAAGCTTGTATTCGTAATAACTTAATTCAAAAATTCTTTTAAAAATAATCTTGTGATAAAAGAATCACCTAAAGAAATTGGTAAGCTGCCTTTGTCCTTGAAGTAATGCAATCTTTTTTCTTTTAGTGTGTATTTTCCCTGTAGCTTTGGTTTTAGTGTTCTTTCTTCCAGTTGTGTCTCTATCAAGGAGCATTCGTTTGGCTGCTGGTGATTTGGACATTTCTTTTCCATCACAACCCTGGTCAGTGTGATTACCAGCAGGTAAGTTTTCTTTGTCATTCATGGATTCCGTTAGTGTTCTTTTCTTGGTACGACACTTTGGTGTACCTTCAACACGGTGTTCATTTACGCTGCCTTTAAAGGACGAGATAATATCATTTTTAACTGCTTCCATCATCATTTTGTCTCTCTTGATGTCCGGACTTAATCCAATCTTGATACTGACGGCAGGTTTAGCCCAGCTCATGTCTCCACACACTTTTCTGTAGCTCTCGAAAGGTTTCTGTCAATGAAAAACAACATTGCAGCAGTTTGATTTAACTGAACAACTGACAGTAAAACTGTATTAAAATGTCTGCCAGGTGATCAACAGTCATAATCAATCATGGTTAATCTTGTGAAAAACAAAAATGTAACACCAAATATTGCTAAGCTTTTGGTTTTTATAAAACTTTTGACACGACAATTATCCTTCCCAGCACTGATAATGTTTTCCCTCCAGATGTTTACAGCTTACACTATACTGTGCCTTGACTGAATTTTTGTTGATGAAATTTTTATAGTTTTAATGCATGTGTTCAATAAGTGTAAATTAATACTTGTAATATTTAAACTGTTCATAGTCCCCTATTTTTCCGTGAGATCGTTGAGATATAGCATGTCTTACCGTTAACAGCGGCCATCTTGATTTTCAAATTGCTTCCTCCCAAACCGCCCCCGTGCCCTAAGTGGTTTTGACACCCATGTAAGATGGCAGCCTGTAACACAAAGCGCTCGATCTTGACGATCTTACGGAAAAATAGAGGACTGTGAACCGTGCACATAATATTATACACTATTATTTTTACTGAGTGGATAGTTCAATAACTAACCTTAATGGGTTTTGATGGCTGCAAATCCTCGGCTGGTGGAACATCTTCCTTCAGAGACTCAGCATCAGGTGTTCTAACGGAGAAAAATGATGGTGACAAGAAATAATAATGATAAAAAAACTTAACAACAACAACAACAAAAATTCTCTACTGGCCACTAATCAAAAGTCTGAACTGACCAGGTAGACTGGTCACTTTGGAAATGAAATTACTATTAATTTAGGAATAGTGTAGACTGGTTTAGCTTGACAATTTTTGGTTCACTAGAATTCTATTTATGAATGAACTGGTCTGGCAGTAATGGTTAAGCACCTTAAGGTCAGGGCTATCACTAAGATCTTGGGCCTAGGGATTTCCCCTGGCTACTACGAGCATGGCTGACCACCGGATACTTAGCACAGCAGAACCAAAAGAACTTCCTGTAGTTGTTCAATTCCTTGCTTACTAAATTATTGCATATACCTGGCAGGGGGAAATCTTAGAGACAGCTCTGTTTAGTTAGTTAGTAAAAAAATAATAGTTAACACTAAACAATGGCTGTATTAATGACTATGGGTGCAAAAATTGAGAACAAGATGTGATTTCTGAATTTTAAGAAAATTTCCTGGACAGTACTGTAACACTTGACTTCTGCTGACCAGCACAGAAACAAATGTTACCTAGGGATATGATTATTGCATGGTAAGTAATAAAATAAAAATATTTTTTTTATATGAAGCACACAAATTTGCCTGAGGCCTTTAATGTACACTGTAGTTGATAGATCTAGTACACTTCTGGTAGTTTAAGTACACAATGTACCTGAACTGAGTGAGTAATGATCTCACTTTAGACTTTCCATGAGTTGTTTCTGGTGTCGTCAGTGCACAACTCACATTGCTTGTTTGGTAATCTTGCATGCATGTGTCCTTCACTTGTTGGTCCAAGATGCTCTGAATCAAGAAGTACACATTCATTCCTGCCATTGTTGATTTTACTTTATCACTGTTATAGGTTTCACTGCTTAGTTGTTCCACCTTTTGTTGGAGGCTTTCCACTGTTCTAGTCAGGCATTCACTTGTGAAGACTTTCTCTTTGGATTTTGAGATGCTGACTCTCAGTATGTTCAATATCCTTAGCACAGCAGCTCTGAAAATTATTGGCAAATTTTGACTTTTCAGTTAGAAAACTGCTTATCCAATTCATGAATAAGTGAAGCAGTTACTTATCTTACTTTGCATCAGCTGTTTCTTCACAGATATTTTGCAGCTTCTGAAAGAAGGTCACAAATTCTCCTAGGCCCTAGAGAGAGGTGAACAGTCATGTAAATGAAATGTCATGGATGAGAGGGCAAGAATTTTAATCAGAGCTGTGCTTTAGCAGCACCTGGTGGCCTCTAGTGCCTTAATTTGCTCACAGGCGACTTGAAAATCTTGGTTTGGCATAAAATTATACATGATGAGCACCCTGGATTTCACACTCAGTTCAGAACACTTGGCTCCCTTGTTTTTTTTCATAAAGCTTAGCCTTGTTATTGTTTCTACTTTACATTTTACATTATCCGTAAGCTTGAATGTCAGCCTCTTTACCTTGGTTAAAGAAAGAAGTGGGTTGTCATCACCAGGTGCATAACTCTTTCCACCCAGTCTTATCCTCAGTATAAATGATACAGCTGTCTGTTAGCAATAAAAAATGATAACCTTAGCACAAGTGTAGAAAGCACAAAAACTGTAGCACACCTTACCCTTTTTATCAAAATAGCTGGCAAAAACAATAGATTGAAGTATCTGTGTTACTTTCGTTTTTGGTTCTCGGCCACACACAAGATCAAACAAAGAAAAGGATGGGGGAGGGGGTGAGGAGGAGAGAGAGAGAAACTGCCATCTCCCCTTACCCTTTCTCCCATCATTTTCTGGCTTGACCTCAGTTTAACTTTTGCACGGCTGTATCTCTTAATTTAAAAAAGAAAAAACTGCCAGCTACGCAGTCTAGTGAAGCTTCTTCCTTTCGGAGTGAACAATAAGTGCAGTCACACAAAAGGTAGGAAAGTGACCTTGCGAGTCTCTTCAAATGTTTCTAGCTGGCAATATTGATCCCTCCTTCCATGAACACCCCTTCTCCTAGCTACTGGCATACATCCTTACACACCTTTTTGTTTGTGATAGGCAAGAAACTTATACTTAATATTTAAAAAGCAGTTAATTTGTTATAATTGCAAATTAGGGGAGTGTGTTTGATGGGGAGGGGTAACGAGTGTCAGGGGTTGGGTAGTGAGAGGTAGTGGTAAAACTTGAAATGTTTGTAGTTAATAATGACATACCTGAAACATGGGCATGTTTTTGTCCCTTGCTACTTTTCTTAGTGCTGTGAATTGCTGATGAGCCAGGCCTCTATGAGGAATGTTGATAGCCTGGGAGAGAGCCAGTTCATCTCTGGTATTTACCAGAAGCCTCAGGTAACTCAATAAGACTTGAAGTAACTGATCCTGTAGGGTAAAATACTTTTTTTTCCAAAATCAAATGACTAGACAACATTGAATCAAAGGACTAGCCAACATTGGTTTTGTTGCTTACAAAAATAAAAAAGTGCATTTATTTGTCTGTGTGCTGTGATCAATTAAATAAATGACAAAATTATTTTGCTTGGAACTCAATGTCTCTAATAATAACATCTACTCAATGTCAGAATAATTATTATCATCCTAGGAAGGGAATTTGGGGAACCAGCTTCTTAGTATAGATTAAAAACTCATTATCATAGTTTCGACTTAAACATTCAGGGCTTTAAAGGCATTTACATGTACAAACTTTTATTAATGACACTCCCTAAAGAAGGCTTGCAGTGACAATAATACAGTAATTCATTTACAAGATAGAATGCCAAAACAATAAAAAATCTAAAAATTACAAAGATACAATGGTTTATGTAAAAAGAGTCAGAAAGCTAAAAAATAGTAGCTAGAATAATACAGCAGTAGTAAAATAGTTGCTAGAATTATATCAGCTATTTATTGCTGGTAGTCGCTAGAATTATAGCAGACCTTCACGAGTGGAGCCCCATATCCAAGAAATTTTTGCTCCAAGTGTACTAACTGAGGAATTTTGCAGCCAGAAAAAGTCAAATCAGAAATGAAATTGTGCAACTTGTTGCAGCAACAAAATTCTGTTGCAAACTCAGACAAAGATTAGCACAACAATTCTCCAGTACACACAAAGCAATTTATCGCTGCAAGGTGTGGCTGCAGAATGTCACCTAGTGTGTTCTGACTTTTTTGAGGCTTGGTCTTTCAGGCAAAATGGGTATCAGAAATCTACACTGTGATACATTTTTATATTACCTTGGCCACTTCTTCAGAAGGTAGAGTTTGGTTGGGTAGCCTACTTTTTGAAGGCGTAGGTGAATGGTGTGTCTGTGGCTCTTGGGGACATCCATGTAAAAATGAATCTACTGTCTTCTCAGTGAGTAAATACTGGCCATCTTTATTCAAACAAACCATGACAAACAATAAAAAAAAGTTAAAAATAAATTAGGAAATTGAAGAATTATTTTGATCTGTTATACTGTTTCATCTCTGACTTACCAAACTGACCAAACTTTCCACTGTCTACACTGTCTTACATGTAACAAAAATCTCACATATTTGTCTGTGTCCAATAAAATGATGAAAAGCAAGTCATTTCAATTGCTGAGAGTACCACTGTTCAAAGAGGTAATAATATTATTTGTCACATCACATTATAGGATTCCACCCACAAATGCAAGTGTTAAGATATTAAATATATCAATTTGAGGGTACTGTCGATGGTACTATCAAATGAATGTAAAACTCTTGAAGTTTGACATCCATACTCAAATGTTACTACATGTATGAGCTTCACAGCTGAGTTAAACAGTCAATATTTATTATTAAGGCTTCCATACCTTTTCCCTCTGTAAAGCACACCATAGTTTTGTTTCCTGAAATCAGGTGAAGGATTTGCTCCTAACAACAGATTGCAATGATATAATAATTATGTTGCTGACCTCACATAAAGTGTCAAGATGGCTGGATTAATTGGCCAAGTTGCATTTTCATGGCCCAAGACAAAGTTGACTTAGGTTAATTAATAAAAACTTGCAGTTAAAAAAATGAGGGCAATATACAGCCATCTTGTCTGAATAACAAACTTGGCACATAAAAGATTTAGTGGTCAAGAGAACTACATTGTATTATTTTCTTGTGGTACCAAAGCAGGAAATCCTACTTGGCTAGGATATCAGAACATATGATTTCTTTCCTCTTGCCTACTAGTGGAACCAGCCATAAAATAAATCACGTTTACGAAGAAATGTTACAGGAACAATTAGGTATTTGTCATGTATAAGGAAATAACGTATGTGATAGATAGATACAATGTAATAACTAACCTGTTACTAAAAGTGTGACTTCTTTCAGTTTAAATGACACTTTATCTCACCTCAAGTTGTGTTTTGGGATTGCCAACAGCAACAAACTGATAAGAGGTTTGAAATTTGTCTTTCACATCACTGTCAACAATAAATGTTGTCTTTACCCTCTGAAGGATATCAGCAAAATCCACAGCATTGCAGTGTGATAAAAATTTATTGTATGCAGCTACCAGCTTTGGGGATTCATTGTCGTCATCCATAGTTATCTTGTTTTTCATGATACTCTTGTGTGCTTCAAAAACATTTTGTAGCTTCACACTAAACTCTCCTTTTTCCTTTTTTGAATCAAGCAAATGACCAAAAAATAACTGGTAATAGTAATAATAAGATATTAATATATAATAATATTATTATAATGACAGTTTTTAAATCAAAATACATGTTGAAAAGAATTGCAGCAGAATTCAACAATTTACTCGTTTAACTCATAAGGTGCTGTGTTGTCAGACAAATAGGCCATTTGCACTAAGAGGTCATGTGACATAGTTTTTATGAAAATGAAAGCTATATGATTTTGCCTTCCAAAAACGATCAGTGGGTCATATCAAAATAATAGTGATTTGGTTTTTCAAACCTGCACCATTTTCTTAAAATGAGTAAGTTCCTGGCTGGTCACGTGACCAAAATGTGATTTTTAAAATTATGAATTACTTCTTTCTGAACACAAGCTTTGCACTTAAACTTCAAAGAGGATGTTGAAAAAATGATGTGATATTCAAAACGTTTACAGCACATCTGAGCGTAACTATCAAACGTTTAACAAGATATAAGCAAAAAGTAGTTTTGGCCGCCATGTTGGAGGGCAAGAGTATGCCCTCCAACATGGCGGCCAATACAAATCATACTGCTTTATTGAAAAATCAAAGTGCCATAACATATCTCCCTTAAATGCATTTCCTCTCAAATCTGGGGTGTAAGCAAATTTTTATGAGCTCTGTCAATTTTTGGCATCAGCAAGATTCCAACCCATTGTTTAAAGGAAGCATTGGTCACGTGACCTGTTAGTGCAAGTGGCCTATTCTGCTATTTGCCACTTTAAGACTTCCCATAATACACCTTGCTTCACCTTGCTTAGCTGTCATACCACTTGACTCAACTTACTTCTTTGTTGCTTCGTTTGCCTGAAATACCTGTACAAACTACTGTGATGTAACTCTCACCTCTTTATTTAATTTTGCCATAACCAGCTGAAGAGCAACCAGCTGCTCTTTGAGATCAAAGATGGAATCACAGAATGGCCTCTTGCTACCATGTTCCCTGTAAAGGCTTATTAGAAATTCCACAGGGCTTTGTAATCTTGATTGTGAAAGGGCATTACAAGTAAGCTTACTTTGAAATGCTGAACAATGGAACCCAAAAGCCAGATATCTCATGGTCCTGCTATCATCTGTAAAAAGATATCATTTTTAAAATAGCCGGTGTACAAGCGCCCCCTCCCCTTAAGATCAAATCTGGAAAGGGACCGCCGTACGCAGGCTATTTTTAAATAGGCCCCATTAGATCTGTGTATTGAATTAGGCTTTTGTATTAAATACCCGTACCCAAACCACCCATGGTTGAGGAACTATGTTATTCTTGAGGAGTGAGTTATAAAAATTGAGGATTTGTTTAGGGGTAAAGTAAAAAAATATGGAATTCTTTAGGGGTGGCACATTAATTTTCACGAAATTCTTCAGAGGTAAACCCATATTTTTTGGAAGTCTTCAGCCCTGGGTGAATGCAATTTTATTTAATCTTCAGGACTGGGTTGTTAAAAGCTGGTTAAGATCCTGTGAAATTTGAATTCAAATCTGAAAGCTGAAAGGGGTAGTCTCATGATCGGCATGAGCTGCGCATGCTCAGGAAATGACTGTCAAAATAGTTCTTACCACTCTCATTTAAATTGTATTTGTGACCCTTCATGCGAAAAGGGGGCTTATGGATTTTTTCTCGCCCCTTTTCGAGCTGGAAAAAAACGAGAATACCTGGTCACGTCAAACTAAATTTGTGGAAGTTGATCCCACGCAAAAAATAATATTTCTCTCAGCATATTCAAGCCGTTTTAAATATAAAAAAGCGTATTCAGACTATTCCGCGTTCAGGCCTGTAAAGCCACAAATCACAATCAAACTAGTCACAATTTCTTGTCGATATTTTTATGTGTTCATGGCAAGTATTTTATTAGATATGCACGATCGGAACTGCGTGTGTTTCATGTTCATTTGCATTGTTTACATTGTCTGTAACTGCAACAGTCGGTGACTTTTGGCTCTTTTTTTTCTTCTCCTCAACGTGCAAATTTTCCCAATGTCGATGTCAGAGACGATTAGTTATTTACCAAACATGGCAAGGTTTTCACCTAACGAAATTCTTTGCGGAAAGACTAACTATTACTGCCATTCCTAAAACCGGGATAATTGTCGTCTGTGTCGACGCGCATTGCAGTGAAGTGACTGATCTTATCTGCAGTTTTGTAGCCCCATCATCATCCATCACACGCGCAAACTCTACTTGATTTATCATGCTCCATTTCAAGTTCCTTGTCTCATTGTTAAATGTTATACTCAAAATTTCGCCGTTACAACGATCTGAACAGAAGGGTAAAAATGAAATAAATCCAAAAGATATCACGCAATATCAAAACATGCGTTACATATTTCTTCATCTTGTCGCCACCGAGTCTAGCATTTGCATAACTTCATGGAAGAGATAAAAGCTTCCAAATTCTTTTAAATTTTAAACGATACTTTGGTTGTAAATTTAGAGAATACAAAGACGGAATCATGCAGTTGTTGATTATCTTCGGCGATCTTCGGTGTCCCTTTTTGGCGATTTCATCTGTTTTGCCGAAAATCAAAAATCAAAAATCAAAACACTGGCTTTTGTTACTTCCTGCTGGGCAAATAAAGGCTTGCATGACATCAAAACAATACACTTTTGAAAACAATGTTTTTGACGACGTGATATTAAATTTCACGGTGACTCCACGGCATGAAATATTTTCACGGCCATTATAAACTTTTCACTGCGTGAAATTTTCACGAGGAATTTTTCACGGCGTGTTCTTTCAAAAAAATTTTTCTTACAACGGCCTGATTGGCTCAATCTGTCAAGGACAGGAAAAAATTACAGAGGGTTGTGACACGAGGCATCCGAATATAACTACACAGAGGATTTTCCTCAAGATTTTCTGTCATTACAGAGGGTTGTAGAGGCATGTTCTCGATTTTATGCATGCATTTCTTTACTGCTTACCAAGCCAGAATTACATAGCGAAATCGGAAGCTAACACGTGAATCCAATTTTTGGGGGGTTAATGAATCAAATTAAATTATCCAAGGCAAAAAACTGCTAATAGTGGCAGCTGGGTGCAGCTGGAATTGACTGATGTATTACTGCCATGGCTGGCTCCACCTACCCTAGCTCCAGAGGTCCGTTCTCAAAATACCTAGGATGAAATAAACTGTGCTTCAGGAATTAGACAGGAAAAAAATAACCTCCGGAACCCAGGGTAGGCTCCACCACTTGTGGCCACCATGTTTTTGCAGAATTTTTCAAGTGTTGCACTTTGGCTTGCACATGCACAGTTCATGAGATTTACCCTTTAAAAGCAAACTCATTTTGATAATTTTCGTCTATTGTTTGATGATATGATGCTCTAAAAAGAATAGAGAAAATTAGTCAAGAAAATGCTTTTGAACAAAAGAAAGAGAAACCCGGATTAAAATTTAACCCAGGATTAGCGATAATCGGCCTTCAAACAACTGGGCGCCGGGGTAAAAAGAAAAGGTAGGTCCTCAACCGGGGGGGGCAGATATTAAATGCAATTACCCATTTTGCTACAGTTGGGGGTAAGTTTGCGTTTGTCATGAAGTAAGTAACTATCTGGAAATGCGCCACGTCGGTGTCTGGTCTCACAGAAGACACAGCCAGGTTCCCATTTGCCACCGGTACTGTTATGGTACTATACGAGAAAAAAAGGTTGAGTAGCTGGCAACAACTTAACCGACGGCAAGCATGCCCGTTAAGTTGACTCAAGTCAGCCTCGCTGGCATGCAAGGTGGCGGAGAAGACCTGTTTCTTGCTACCGGTGACTAACCTGGCTCTAGAAGTCAGTTCTCAAAATACCTAATATGAAATAAACCTTCGCGCCTCGTTGACGCGGCTTCCTCGCGAACCATTAGTATCTATAAGGAAAAATTTCCTTTGGAACCCAGGGTAGCCGGCGACATAACCTTATGTGGGAACAGTATGCCAAGCAGTGACGGCGGCTATGTCGCGGGTAGGTCGGCAGGATATGAAAACAAGGCTTTTATAATGAAGTACGACGATCTGGACGCGGTAACGCTAGGGTCGATATTATGAAAACTGGAGTGTCTCTCACGTTCATTTAGTAAAATATAGACCGAAAATTAAAGCGTTATACACTAAAACTTAACGATTTAAAGAGAAGTGCATCATCTGAAGTATTCCGAGTTTCAAGCTACACCGTAGGGTTTGTGTCATAAATTTTTAGACTCTCCTTCGTTAGTATGATATCTCTCTGCGATTTAACTAGTTAAGGAAAGTTGTACCACAATCTGAAGGTACCTAACTTACTTTTCCACCCACTATGACTCCTAAACAAGCTTAAAACGTCAGATAATTTATCCAATTTTTCTTCAGCTAGCCAGTAAACATGATCCGCCATGATGCTTTCTTGTTCCGTTCTTTGTGAGGTTCGAATTTCACGCGACTCATGCAAAACAAGCTAACAAGCCAATCATATCACTCGTCCAAAACGAGGCCGAGTGTGAAGTTTAAAATATGGCGGCGACCATTCGACTTATTCACCTATAGCAGGTAATTCAGAAAATTGCAGCTTTGATATAAAACATTTTGTACAATAATTTTTATTTTCGCCACTGATTTTTGTAGGTGATATTTCAAGTGTGGATTTTAGGAGAGTTACAGCGTAAAGTAAGTCAATAACTTAAGGTAAACTCTCTTCGCCCTGTAGCTAATTTAAAAGCCCTTACCTATCACCGTCGGTTGCCTCTAAGCGTGTACACGTGAGGAAAAAACATGTTCTCATTGGTTTCTAACATGCATGACATGTTTTGCCGCCAAACATTCCAATTTGGAGTAGGCGGCTGTTGTCGACTTGGTTTGTTTTCGCTCAATAAAATATTCTTTGCAATGCAAGAATTTTTAGACGTTAAGAATATTAAACTTGTGGAGGCAAGTGTGCTGTTTCTGAGCGAGAAATATACCTGGAAGTTGAGAAAAATGAAATATCAGCGGAACCAGTGGCGGATCCAGGGCTCAGGGGGCCTCATTCCTTTATGAGGTTCTCGAAATGTGGATTTGTGATTTGGGCAAGAATTTTAAGCCCAGGTAGGAGGATGGGTTGCCTGGATAACAGATGCTGCTTTGGGTTCAGCCACAGGCTGACACATCTCAGAGATGCGAACCTTTGGAGATCTAAAATCTGGAGACTCTATCTCTTGCACTACAACCCCGCTCCCCCGAATGTCAACAAACCCCCACCTTCCCTCACCCCACCTCACAAATCGATCCAGCCCCCAAATTATGACAGTCATGGGAATTGCGTAGGGCATTATGTGAAGTCTTAGATGATTTACATACCATCAAAATGTGTATTCATCATTGTAATGATGGAATAGTCTTTGCCAGTGACTAAATACCTGCAAAAATGCCTGAAAAACTGTACGATTTTGGGAAAAAATGAGCTAAATTTCAAACTAATAATCACAAACAGCAGTGATAGACATTCTCTCTGAGTTTTCGCATTTTTATATACTTGACATTTCGTATGCTATTCAACATATATTTTCAAAAGTGATCTTAAGTGACTGTTAAAGAAAATGACAAGACTATGTATTCCAAAATTACAAGGGTTCTGGAAATGAGATTAAGAATTTAAAAATTCTTAACAGTAATGAATAAAAAAGGCAACAGCTAATAAAGATTCAGCTGTTTACTGCTGATGTTGACATTAAAAGCTGGCGTAAGGTCTTGTATAAACAGTGTTTTATCTTACAATGATAATCTGTTTTGCCAGATGCTAAGATTTCAAAGTGATCCAATTTAATGTTATGTCCGGTGGCAGTGACCTGGTCAGCAATAGCTGAAGAGTGATCATTTTTTGTTAGGGACTTGAAGTGTTCAGTCTTCCTATCATGGAGCAGTTGTTTGGTTTTCACTCCACTTTCCACAAGCAGGGTACATGCTTAATGTATCACGATCGGCGTATATTTGATTTTAGTCAAGGCCATGTGACCAAGAATCAACCAATGGCAGTCCCAGTTTAGTTGAGTGAAAATCTAGGAATATAACAACATGGATTTCAACATAGCATGAATCCCGTGATAGAAATTTAGCGCAACATAATATAGGAAATTACCTAACAATTGCTGTTATTCAGATAATTGCTGAAGATTTCATACTAGAAATGGAGTTATAATTCGTCCAGTACTGAGAGCATCAAAACAAAAAATGAACTGGTAAACTTTGATAAGCGATTATTGCTTTTGTATTTGCTGTATAATGCTCAATTTTTAAAAATGTTGTGCCCTTATATACAGCCTGTGATCATTTGAAAGCTAGTAACTTGTCAGCGGATAACTTCAAAAAATACTCGACTTTGATGGTGAGCCTGCGATATGGTCAAGTGATACTGGTCAGCGGATACCCTGTTTTGACAGCTGTCAATTGATCACAACATGGATGTGTAAAATCAGGTTGCACCTAGGCTCCCAAACTAGTTAGCAAGTGTGAGATTAAACATTGGTGTCCCTGTAGTGCGGATGGACGGTCGTTCGGGCGGTCCGTGTACGGTCACGTGATTACCAAATTTTCTGGGATGGGTAGATTTACTTAGCTATGGGGCTCCGCCCACGCGCGCGCGTGGAGCTCCGCTATTATTGCCTAACAATAAACAGGCAGTTACTGCCTTGTATGACTTCGGCCGATAAACATCACAAATGAAATTACTGCCTGTTTCATCTTCGCGTCCAACAACTGGAAAACTGAACGCCAAAGGAAACAAGACCTGATAACATTAAAAAAAACATAAACTTTTAATGCTTTCAGCGAGTTAACAATGGAATTTAAAAGCCCCAGAATAATTGCTTCTTGTAGTGTGGACACGGGAACATGAGTGTCTGATAGTTTTAGAAGCGCATGAAAACTACAGTTCAGTAATATTCAAACCATGTTATAGAAAACAGCCTTTAAAAAGCCGTTTTTTATGTAAAAATCCTGCTTTTTACAGAAATATATATATTTTTGTAAAAATTCTGCTTTTTTATGTAAAAAAGCTGTTTTTTTATGCTGGTTTATTTTTAAAGTATTCTTAAAATTTCGCAAATTTGAGCCTCGATATTCTTACAAAATATATTCTAAAAGAAAAAAAAGTGTATCAGTTGTAGAATTAGCCGACGTACTGGGGGATATTGATTTAACAACAACAAAACAGACACGTTTTTGGTTATTTTTGTTACAATGTTTTTCTATTTTCGGAAAAATCCTGTTATTGCAATAATGGACGTTCTTTCTAGTTCGTTTTTTTTTCTAGACGTTTTCAGGCAAATTTGGACTGAGACATCTCCTAACTATTCCAACGCATAAAAGAAAAAAAAAACTGAAACGTGTTTGTCATTGACCTATTCGGTTTTTGATTTATGCGTGATCTGTAAACAACCGATATTCTAAATCTCAAAAAACATAAGCATGCGTGTCAGCAGATTTACTACAGTAACAGTAACGAGGCCGACCTCCAATAAAGAAAACTAAAGCACCTATGGATTTTTTTCAAGATTGTATTTATAAAGAATGTGTATCAAAGTTTCATAGTTGTTGTTGTTGACCTGTTTTAAACCGCTCGAGATAGCTATTAAAATCTTATTGCGCTATAAATAACAGTATCTTTACCCGGCGAAATTAATTATTTACCGCATTTTCTGGATAATTGTTCCACTGAAAACGTACCATGCGATATCTACGTTTCTTAACAGTCTTCTTAAACACACCTGAGGATTTCCAGGGTGGCTTTTAAAGGGGTTGGCCAATTTGAAATCCACTGTAAAATATCAGAGAGTATTACAGGTGATCAATCCGTGAGCTAGGCTAAAATTAGAATTTAACATTGGAATAATCAGACAAACATGTTCTCGCTTGCAATTTAGCTATTCATGGAGTCATTTCTTAGAACTACAGGAAGCTCGTTTTATTTAAGACGTTGTTATATTGATAACATTCTTTCCGAGACTTAAAATAATAAAAAAAGTGTACGAGCTATTCGGCTTAGTTCCGCTATGATCTTTTCGCGGAAGTCCATGCCTTAACATGATTTATACACTTACTAAATTTGGGCTCTTTGTCTCTTACTAGAAAAAACTGCTACTCTTCGTTGATGTCGGGGAAGAACATTGCTGGAACCTTTTTGCAAAAACTGAGTTTAAGCCGGTGTGTTCAACTGCAACTTAACTGTAAATTAAAAGCAAAGCCGGCAGTCAAGTCGGTTTCGTGTAAAAATGACCGAACAGCGCAAGCTTTTTGAACTTCAGTAATGCATTAATGCACTCAAAAACTATTACAGAGAAGGAATGCTTCATTGCATATCCCTGGGGGATCACAATGCAACTTTTACTGAGACTCATCGCGGGATTTGTTTATTTTAATATTAACTGCCAGTGCCTTCTTTGAAACTAAAATTGTTACTAGCGGATGGCATTTGAGGATCGACGTGGTTGAGGTTTACTGAGAAAATGACATGGAAGGACTAGGAGTAGATTTTCTAAAAGTCCTTTGTGAAGGTGGCTTCGCTCGCTCTTTTTGCGTTCGGGTAAGACCTAGGTCGACTTGTACCAAGTCTAGACCAGGAGGGAAAAACTGGTTAGCACGATCTTCCAAACACAGTTTTTCAGTACGTTATTATTATAGCTGTTTTTTGCAAATACTCCTGATCACTCGATTGTCATTTATGCCTGCAGCACAGCAGCTGTAGACGGTTATAATTCTTCTTTCTTAGATATATTAGTGAATATCCGGCATTAATCAATCTTTACTATGCTGAAGCAATATACCTGGAATGTCACTAATTCAGGTTGTTTATAGAATCACTTAAGAGTTCTGTTAAACTGTCGCTGTATTGATCGACATTTGAAGTATATGGACACTTGCTGTTAATAGTGACTTCAGGGGTTTTTAAGTTTATTAGTTTTTTGCACGCAGCATTTTCTCTGGCCTGTCTGTGATTATAAACTACTGCAGTTTCGCGACTTTTAATTTTAAATCATCTTATCAATCGTTGCTATTTTTTAAGAGTGCATCCCTTTGTGATCAACAAATTGGACAAATTTCAGAAAAGTAACGATCCAAAACTGGCAACAACGATGATATCGACTGTACGTTCGGAAAATTTGACAACTCATGAAGTAATTCAATAGAAAAATGGGCACACTTCAAAATGTCACTCCAGACCACATATAGAAAAAAAGGCTCAGTGGCTAAATTTCTGGATGAGCATAATAAATTGATTCGTCTTCAGAGTTAAAATTTCGAGCATTTACATATAACTTCGTAAATTGAAAATGATGTCATGCGGTTATATAGTATAACCTTGAAATGAAGTCAACTAGAACACGCTGCGGACAGCGTATACACGATGGTCTCTTGCTAAGTGAACTATCTATTAACTTCGCAGAATCTATATTCAGTGAATTCACAAAGTTTGTTTTGAACCACTTGAATCTTGATATTAAAACTTGGCGGTTAATGATTAGTTAGCTTCTGGTCAGAACGTTTCTTTGTTCGTTTTGTGATCGTTTATAGTGAATTGCTCTTTTGAGCGTCTTCGATACAGTAAACTTTTTGTGTTGCAAATAATTTTGGTAATTGTAGTTTTTTCATTCTCTCTCTCTCTCTCTCTCTCTCTGAAGATGTCTAGATCGCTATTTCTATTATCCACTTTCAGTTCCGTTGGTTCGTACGCATGCAAAGAAATCCGTTTAGAAACAGAGAAATTAAAAAATTAAATTTATTTTATTTAAGCTCGATAGCGTGAGGAGTGGTTGCCCAATCTCCCGAGCCCGGGGCTCATGTATTAAACGCTCGAGCATTCCGGATCGAATTGGAATTTAGAAATGTTGGTTTTTGCGGAGAGGGGAAAACCGGAGTACCCGGAGAAAAACCTCTCGGAGCAGAGAAGAGAACCAACAACAAACTCAACCCACATATGACGTCGAGTCCGGGAATCGAACCCGGGTCACATTGGTGGAAGGCGAGTGCTCTCACCACTCCGCCATCCCTGCTCCCCCAAATGTTTTCCCAACGATATTGAGCACTGCCTTTAAAAAAACTCCTTGGCGAGACGGTCGTCTACCACTGAGCTCTGTATTTTATTGTTCCAGCCCCATACTTAATGTCGACACACCGTACACTCGTTGCTGTTAGAAAAATTATATATATTGCACTTTTTAGGTGGGGTTCATCACTTAAAGTCACTAACGTTAAAAATTCGAATTTGCTATAAATTAACTTTCCACGCAGAGGTTTTATCTAACTATAATTCGGTCTCTCCTAATAGAACTTTAAATCTGTTCTGGTTAGAATCTTACAACAGTTTTCTGTGCGGATCTTTAAAACTAAGTTCTGTCAGCTTCTCATATAAATTCCGTGTCCAGTTACTTGTGAGATGTCCGGGAAGATTTTTGGGCGCGCGCGAGAGCACAGGGTTCAGAGGAATTTCGTGTGAATAAATGAATAAATGAATTACTTATTTAAAGTCTCACCTTGAAAAATGTCTATACCAGTGTCGCTTAGCACGATTAATTAGCCCAATGGCATCTTTATAAATCTACTGATGTTCTAACGACAAACAAATCTCCTCTGGACCCTGTGGCGAGAGAAGTCACTTTTCCTCGGCCCATTCCTTTTCCCCCGCTGGCGGCCGTCGGCCGCCAACCAGTGCAGTGAACCTGCTCGTAGGCTAGTTTCTAGATGTATTAAGTTAATAGAGCCACCCCCCAAACAGGGTGCATGTGCCTGTCAACCCAGCTTAGTGATTCACATCGCAATTGCAAATCTTGAGCTTTATCGCCTTTTGATTACAAGTTTTGATACAGAGGCCCGGGAGAACTTAGCCTCCCACGCAGGCGTTTTTAGGGGAGCTCGCATTTCTTGTGGGGAAGCAAGAAATACGAGCTCCCCTAAAAACGCCTGCGTGGGAGGCTAGGGAGAACTCGGAAATGGCCCATTTTTTGGTTATCAACAATTGTACACATTACAAACCTTCTATCTAACAAGTCCGTTAAGTTCTGGTAATAGACTAATAAAAACAAAACTTTTGTTCCTGTTAAAACGAAAAAATGGCGCTTCGAAAGACGCGGCAAGTTTTCCGACAAAAAGGAAAATAAACTTCGATCGCTTCCAGAGTCCATCCTTCGTAAATTTCAACTCCGTCTTAGCATCCCAGAAGTCAGATCGGCCTCATCCCGCTAGTCTCCGCTGACATACCGAGGATTTTTTCGGACTATCCGGTCGACTGTATATTGTCGTACAGCGACCGCTTCACCATACAAAGCGTAAAGGAGATGGATTTATATTTATTTGGTAAACAGAAAAGGTCTGAAAGGCTCCGTACAAAATCCGCAACGATTCTTTTTATCTTGGTGAACGACATTATGTAACTCCGTACGACATTGCATCAAAAAAGTCGATCATTCTCCAACAGCTTTTTGTAAGAATTGTCGCTTTTTTTAAATTTCTGTTAGACATAATCTTTTAGAGAAGATGTTAAAGTTTTCATTGGAAAAGACTTTGGTGTTACACTTCTCTATCATGCGTAAACCCTTCAAGCTTAAAGATAAAGTGTAGGACATTATATACTAATACCTTACTAACACAAGATAAAAAGGTTTTCATCCTCTCTTGACCATCATTATGAATACAGTGTCCACCTAATTGACCATCAATTTGTGAATGAGAGAATAGCCGGAGGTTGTGAATAGAGCAATCAAGTCACCTTATTCCTGTTTGTAACTAGTGGATAATCTCTTAGTGGCCAGCGAAGAAATGCAAAATTTTTATAATCGCCTATTTTCATTATTGCCATGTATTTTACCTGAAAGAAGAAATATTTTCTTCAGACAATCCTGGTAGGATATGATGCGGTACAGTATAGACACCGACCTAATAGCTTTGCCACAGCAACAAAGACAAACCACTTTGTAAACGTAATCGTGAACTTTAATTCCCCGTGAGAATTAACAGACTTCTGTAAAGAAGCAACGGCAGAGTCAGAGAAGCATATGGCAATCTTCTAAAGCCGCTAACGACCTTCGCATAGCAACGACCATATGTCTCTTTGTGGTCACTTCTCAGTGCATCTTGCGATGCTCGGAAACGTTTTACGCTGTAGTTCGTTCCAGCCGTTTTTGTACATTTTCGTTTGGGGTCAAATTCTTGAAGTTGTCACAAAACAATGTCCCGCGTGCTGTAGAAATACATCTTTTTTTGTTAAGCCTACACGGCAGCTGCAATGCAAGCGGTAGTTATTGTAAATGTGTAAAATTTTACACATAAATAAAAGCGGCGCGCGCCTCACTTGCTGTTACTTCGCGAACTGGATCTCAATACAACTAATTTTAACCTATAAAGAAGACAAAAGCCGGGGCTTTCTCCTTGATCTTTTACTCCGGGAAGTGAAAGTAATTGCAAAAAATTATGCTCTGCGAATTCTTTGTGTGCACCAGCGACAGAGAGATTCTACGCTCTTGATTTCTGATTGCAAGTTGAATGTAAAATTTGATCGCACGCAAGTCGTTTTTCCTTCGCTGAAACAAAAAAAGCTGCTTTCTCGTTTCTAACCCTGGTATCTTTTATCAGAACCTTGGAATTCTGGTACATTTTTTTACTTATATCTTTTCCAGTACTGCAAGATATGTTGTTTTCTTCCAAGTAAGACGTCCGCAATGCTGCTTGACCTTCAACTAAACTCTGCTTGTGTTTCTTGTCGTTACTTGGTAACGTGCTCGATATTTTCTGAAATTCTTTTCTCTTTATGCCATTTTCTTCTTTTCATAATCTTTTGTGCCCTTTTACACCATCTGTTGCTCTTAGCTCTAGCATAATTCATTTTCAATGTCATCGCGTCGCTCGTGTCTTTGCATTTACTTTATCTCATTCTGCGCTCCAGTGGTTTTTACTTCAAATTCACCTGCTCTCGATCCGAACTGTCGTTAATAAGCTCACTTTCTTTTGGTGGCAAAACTTCTCCGTCAAAGTATTATTGTTTATACTTGAGGTAGGAGTTGTTTATAGAAGAGAAACAATGCAAGAGTACGGAAGCTTTCAGGCCGTAATAAGAAAGCATTTTTGAAGACCGGTAGTTTTCTTGATTCTAGTATTTGAAGACTGTTCACAAATCACGATCTCTTTTGACAGCTAAGCTCAAAGTTTAAGCTCATTTCCTTCAGTCATCGAAAGCTTGATTAACATTTTCTCCGTTTCAATTTAGCTCTTTTGAAAAAGACAAATATTAAAAATACTCAGTAGTGTAGTTTTTACTTGGTTTTTAAAAAATTTCCTAAGCGTATATACTCACAAACCGAAGAACACGTTTTGAATTTATTTTACAGCACACAGTAATTATCTCGTTTTTCTTCCAGTGGTAAATTATATTTTCTCGGAATTACAAACCTTGCGGGAATATCTATTGGTTGTTCCCGAGAGAAGCAGTTTGTTTGGCTGACAATCTCACTTGATCAAATTTCACACTTCCCCTAAGCAACGTCTTAAATTAGCAGCTAAACTAGAGACGCCTTGTTGCTTAGCGACAGCGTATTTTCTGTACGTTGGAAACAAAAGAAATTTCAGAACTCTATTAAGTCTCCCACTCTTAATAAAGATTAAAGAAAAAACATTACCAAAAAATTCAAATTTCGTTTTGCGAAATCCTGAAAAGTAAACAGTACCTTGTAAAAGCTCTGCCAAAGAGACTTTTTTTCCATAGGATTTATTCAGAAGATTAAAAAGTTGGAGTGGTGATTAATCACGCCCTGATAACATGATGTAAAATAGAAAGAGTCCATCAAGAAACTGACTTTTCTTTATTTACTTTTCTTGTTTTCGGAAAACCTTTTTCAAACAGCCTCAAGGAAAATTAAGTTCAATGTTTGCTTTAGAACGATGTTTCCCTCGTATCTTCCGGGTGTAATAAGAAAGTTTGATTTCTTTCAGGGCGAAAAAATTGATGAATTTTCACCCTCCATTGGGACGAAACTATTGCCAGAGTAATCTGCTCAAAATCAGCACGCCTTAACTTGGATTGGGCGCGTTTATGATCATAATACGTTTGATTTTGAAAGTTCAGCTGTTTGCTCGTTTTCTGCATAGATAATGGCGGTGTAATACCTGCAAACGCAGCAGGCATGGATGTTTTTGAATGGCTTCCCGTTGATCCAGTTTATTGGTTGACTGTTTGACTTAATACAATTAATGATGCTGCTTGTGTAGAAGCGATTTGCAGACCTTCGAACACTCGTCGATCCAACTGCGTCGGGCCTTCAGAGTCGGAACGCGATTACCGTGAATGTAGCCACGGTGTCTAGTGTTCCCTAGTCCTTGCACGGGGACAGCTCCAATTACACACCATTTATCCAGTGTTGCTTCCGCGGTTGCTAATCTAAATAAAGTATAATGGCTCGCTCACTGCGGCTTTCGTTAAAAGTCGTAGATTGTTTCGTTGGATTTTTTAGATTTTTATGGCTTTGCAAATGACTAGCTCGCGCTGTGGCACGCGTCGGCTATTAAGAAAATTGACTTCATTGTCTCGGTGACCAATCAGCGTTGAAACCCATTCAAAAGATCAATGCGTTCCACGCCTCCGACAGGTGATACTATAACAATAAAAAATTGGTGCTTGACTATACTGGGTATCTCTGCACGGTGCTTGCAAAAGGCATTATTGATTCTAATGAACAAGTACAGCTGGTCACCTACAAAGAGATTTTTTGTGCATGGAATGCAAATTTATTTTCTTCTTTGTTAATGTTCCTCTTACCTGCGCGCGCGATTTCGCGGGTTTCACGCGCGATTTTTTTTTTTATGTTTCGCTCATTTGTAAGCACTGATTTTGCAGAAAACTTTACTTTACTTCTAATGGCCGTACTCTTTCAAATATTTGCAGGGCTAAAAAATTTGCCAGCGTCGATCCTTTTGCAACAGTCACAAGAACGTGGCTCGAACAAAAACGTCTCAGGGGGAAATTAGAAAATAATGGAGCGCGAGCCAAAATAAAAGAAAACCTGATGCAACCAACTGACGCGTTTTAAAACTCTCTCGAGATTTTAATCTTTTTTAATTTACTGAAGGAAAACCGTTCAACGGCCCAGCGTCCTTTGTTTGCATTTATCGGCGATCTTTTGAAAAGGTCTGAAATGTCTAACCACTGATTACAAATGCAGAAAGTGGTGTAAAAACCTTCCGACGAGAGCTAAACAAAGGCTACGCTGGAGATATTTCGTGAGCGACTTTGGCGGCTATCATGCAAGCTAAATATCGTGGTCAGGAACTTAACCATGCATGGGGCGGCAGAAAATCAAACACACGAGAAATTAATTTGCAAAACACTGCATTCTTTTATTGTAAATTCACAAAATATTATCTTTCAGGCAGAAGCGTTTTTGATATCAAGACGTTTTACAGTATAAGTCCATCTATTTCGTACAAAAAAGAAAATTAAATCTCTCTGTCTTATAAACATGTTCTCCCGCGACGTCTTTTGTAGCCATACGGCGTATTTATATCCTCTTGTCACTTTTAAGAAAAGCGTAAAAATTTGCATTGGAAAACATGTCCTGGCTGTCCATTCAAACAGCACTGCTGTTTAAATTGGCTCACGGTTAGAATAGTCTAGCCTTGTCAAGGCACACCTGAGTATCACACATAAGCAAAGGTGAAATAGCATCCGCGACTTTTCTTTTCTCTAAAAGTTCATGGCTGCTGCATTCGCTTTCAGTTCTGAGTTGTTGGAGTGTATTGACAATCTCTGAGGCTACTGGTCTAAATTTGGCCTCTGCTTGCCAACATTGTCTGATTAAATTTACATAATGTTCATCTCCTGTAATGTCTTCCTTTAATTCAGGTCGCAGCTGATAAGCTACAACCCCGAAAATAACTACGTGTTGATTCTCATTGCCATATGGTTGTTCTCGTGTAAGCATTTGCCACAAACAGATCCCATACGAATAAATGTCCGCTTTTGTGCTCGGGCTTTCTCCCTTTAAAAGTTCCGGTGCCCTGTAAGCATATGTTCCCGTCAGGTTTGACTTTGTCGGGCTCGCTGGTATATCATTTTCGTTCACCGCCCTGCAGCACCCAAAATCTGCCAATTTGCAATGATCTTCAGCCGTAACTAAGACATTTCGTGGTTTTAAGTCTAGATGCGCTATGCCTTGCTGGTGAGCAAACTGTAGAGCTGTAGCAATGTCTAAAGAGAATTTCACTCGTCGATTTCTGTCCAGCTCCTCAAAAGGATCATTTATAACGTTCTGCAAGTTTCTCTCGCCTGCGAACTCCATAATAATACAGCGAGTTTCGCCCCATAACGTGAGCACCGCAAGTGAACGAACAATGTTCGGATGGTTGAAATGAAGAATCGAACCTTCAGCCTCGAAACTTTCCTGTGCGGCTCTTTCGTTCTTTGTTTGATGGAGCTTTTTAACGGCCAACCGCTCACCTCTGTAGCTCGCCTCATAAACGGATCCAAAACCTCCACTTCCTAATAATCTGCCTATTTGGAGCTCATTTGCCTTGAACTTTTTGTTATGTATCGTGTTGTAAACCATGTCCCTTTGGCGCTTGTTGCAATTGTCGCACCGTGTTCTCTCAATATCTTGCAGGACCATAATACTGTAACTCCGGATCGAAAGTAAAACACAACTCAACACCCGTTTATCTTGGAGCTGAGATCTGTGTGTGGGTGAGGTTAGCTAGTTGACTGATGACTGATTGTTGCTCTAGCCGGTTTGAACCGCAGGAGAGTACTAGATAAAATTATTGAATGTGTAACCCTTTTGTCGTAGCGTCGCCTGCACGAGCCGTATTGGAACTGAAACAAATGCTTTTCTAAGAGACTACTAATAAGGCCACGCGCGAGGCTTTTCTCAGGTGTGATATTGTGAGGGTTAACCCTCAGTAATTAGTCTCTCGACCAATCAGAAACCTACGTTAAGTCAAGCATAACCAATGAGCAGCCATCACGCCGCGAAGCCCCACGAGGTTCATTCATTCACATTATTTTGTAAACATGAACGTCAGCCATGCCTCGAATACTCCTGGGTACTTAAGTCACTGAAATGGTATTTCTCAACTCCTCAGCTGTACTTATTTATTTTTCATTCGTTTTTCTTTTTCTTACAATTTGCAACTCATGCGCACGAGATGTCAGAGACGCACGTGAATTTCACCGGCTGTTGCACTGACTGGGTTTGCGTGGTTACTCGTAACATTTGCATAGCAATTGTTGTAATCGAGCGTAAAGGAATATTGACACTAATCCAGCTCGTTCAGCCAACTACACTTGTGGCTCACGAAAATTGGCGCTTGAAAAAATTCACTGTCGGAGGACTTCATTTCTTTCCTTCAAACGATTAAAACTCCGAAGAATGCGAGCTTATAATTGAAATAGTGTAATAAGTGTTATCTTTTGCGACGTTAACTTCCACTTTTTTTTTCGATCGTTGCATGACAACCTATTTTACATTTAAACCGCAGATGAATGTTAATTGTAGGTTCGCGTGGCAACCATTAAATACCACGACGCGATTGGCTAAAAATGTTCTTCAGTTATTCTAAAGAAATTTGATTGACAGATATCTGTTAGTAACACTTGTTGGCTTTAAATTCGCCGACACCATCGTACATCCTTATTCTCACTTCAAGAACATAAAATAAAACAAAGTTATCGTTCATGATTTTCTCGCACAGCTTGTCAGTTCAATAAACTACAATTTCCTTGCCTTTTATTTCTTCATCGGTAAATCAGGAAAGTAATGTGTTTATTTGAAAATTCTTGGTTGCATGTCATTACCAATCTTTTTTAGTCTGCGTGCGTGCGGCTGATTTTGCGTGCGTGTTGTTGTGTTCATCACCCCTCTTCTAATTTACGTTTTCACGAAAATCTCTGACCCGCAAAAACGCAAATAATGGCTTATATTTCATTCACCTCTCGCGTGACATAAAATCTCTGTATTTTTAGCCCCCTCAGATATCATTTGTGCGTCTTTTTCAGTCCAAGGTCTAATATCTAAGGTATTTTCGCTGCGCGAGGTCATTGTATGTCTCGTATTTAATATTACCCAAAAAGACTGTGGTGTTCAATTATTTTCCGTCTCAAATTTTGTACGATTAGAAAGCCTGCAAACTACACTTTGTCGCATTTCCCTTTTAATACTAGATTTATTTTAGTACGTCGTGCTTAGCTAGTACTCAAGGCAGCTGAAGAGAAACATAATGACATTATTGAAGGAAGAGGACAAATTCTGGCACTATTTTTGACGAAAAAAATCTGAATATTAAACAATTATATTAAGGTCTCATTACTAAAAAAAGTTTTATAATGTAAAGTGTATTAAACTTTTATGGTTGTAATTGTAGTCTCGGACTTAAAAATAGGAAGATATTTTGAGGTTAAAGGCATTTTGATTTTAAATACCTTTTTACCAATTTTAATAACCCCCCTTCTAAATCAGTACCCTGGGAATACTCATTTTGTTGACCTCCATCATTCCTACACATTGAGGACCAATACAATTTACGCAACATAGTTCCACTGTAACAATACCGGAAACTTCTGTCAACTAACTAAACTTCTGCCCGGTTTTGAAGGTTGTAATTCTTTCTGTTTTCATTGAAAGGGAAATAATTCTCTGAATTCCTAGTATATCTAATCGAGACATAATCTACATAATATGTGTTTAAAATAACGCTGTATTTTCGACTCATTAGTAATTGCTCTCTTTGTTATTTTTTTAGTCAGTATTGTTCTTTGTTTACCTTTTGATTGCGTTTGTTGTTAGACTATATATTTATAGTGTAGGCAGAATTTTCTTTTTTCATTGTATCTCCAGGACAATAGGATAAAAAAATAACAAGACATTACTGATTACAGAAAATGAAAACTCGGTCGTGCATGTTGGATATTTGACAGCTAAATATTTGTACAGATTTTTTGGGAAAAGGTTACTTAGTCCGCGGAATGTGATTTTTCACTAAATATTTGTACAGATTTTTTGTGAAAAGGTTAGTAAGTCCGCGGAATATGATTTTTCAGTCATGGGCGGTATCGTAAAACTTTCAAACGAAAACGTACGAGGAGAATTTCCCATTATCTTGTTTGTTTTTCAATTTTCGATCCTTTGAACAAAAATATTTATATTTTCTCAGTTTGAACTGTCGAAAGTTTCGAAACTGAAACTGAGAGATATGTTTTGGCTTGCTTATTCTTATCTTTTCAATATTATGCAATTAACTAACCAGTCACAGCTAGTTGTTTATTTTGTGACTTGCGCATGTTACAACCCTCCAACGCGAGCAGCCTCAGCCGAGTAAGCAATGATTCAGCTAATTAACAAATTGACGTCAGTCGTTTATTAGTCTGTTCTCTTAGCTCAGACGAATATTGATCAGCTTTTGCCAATTTACTTTTGCAATACAATTGAGAAAACCAAAGCATTTTTCACTCAGAAATGCTGTACCTTTTTAGTACTTAAATAACTAACTGCTGTTTACCTCTTCACCATAACAACAACAACAATAATTAATCTTTATTAGTGCCCCGGGAAAAAAAGAGAAGTAAATTGTATGTTTACAATTAGCAGAGGGTCTGGATGGGGGGGAGGGGGGGTACAAATGTCAGTTGTCAGTTAAAATTTTGGCCATTTGTCAGTTGTCGGTTAAATTTTAGGCTTTTTGTCAGTTACCAGTTAAATGGTTCTCAGTGATTAACTATGAAACTTGTTTTTGATATTTTTGACGCGAAATTTAGCTTAAAAGGCACATATAATGCAAATTAAACATTAAATTCGAAAACTGATGCAGTAATACCTTAAATTTTTATCAGTTTTGCTATTGTAAGCATTTCAAGTGGCCCGTCTTCAGAATATTGTAAAGACATTGATCCAACTCGCCAAGGACAATTTCTCACGCCTGACTCACAAATCCAGACAAATTGTTCTTAACACATGATGACTTTGTGTCCTTTTTTGTGTTCTAACGAATCAAAGTAAATTTGGCTTGGTTTTCTTTTTGTTTTATTGCAATCTTAACAAAAACAGGTACTTATTACAGACAGCAAATTACATAGAGGTAATACTCTGAACGGTGCTTACAAGCTGACGCTAACAATAACTAGCTTGCAAGTTAATTCTTATCAACGAGTTGTGCCATAAGGTTTGGTTAAAAAATGATTGTCTGATTTGATTTGCTCTTCAAAATTTGCAAATTGTCAGAACTTAGTAGTGAATTTGTCTTCTGTTTAGAAAATTCTTTGTCGTGTCTTTCTTCTTTAGATTACCTGTAAGAACAGTTCAGTTTTCCACCAAAAAATTCCAATTCTAGGTCAAAATATATTTTCCATTTACCCTTGTTTTCCTCATCCAAATACTTCTTAATCCAAGTAGCTTTCAGAGATTTGCTGAAATAGTCGATGGGCGCTTTCCATTTAGTCAAAATTTCCGGAATTTCTGGTTCGGTGGTAAATGGAACACGTTTCGTCGGCTCGTCCCACTGGAAAATTCTCAGAAAAAGTGGAAAATCTAAAAAGGTGGGCCCGTTTTCCCGGTTGGAATTTCCGAACGGAATGTCGTGTTCCATTTACCTTTCTCGTAGTTTGTACCAGTTCCAGGTCCACGGTCGGGCATCGCGACGTAGCGGTGTTTACGACCAAATGGAACAACTTTTTACCACTTTTGCTCCCACCGAAATTTCCGTTTTTTTTTCCTAAATGGAAAGCGCCCGATATCTATCATTTTAAGTCCTCCGTCGGGATAGTCATTGATGATAACATTTCGCTTGATTCTGTCTCCTTTTCCGTTCCAGAGAAAAGAGTAGAAAAGTTTGTTTACTTCTTTAATTGCATTCGCATTTATACACGTAGGTGATAGGATATAAACAGGCCGAGAGACAACAAAACTTTTCTTCCTATCAAATTGAGTCTGCGGTGTTTCCAGGAGTTTAAAGTATTTCTAACTTTTGGTAATTTTTCGTTGTAATTTAAAGTTGTAGTTGCTTCCGGTTATATTGTAAACAAAACTCCCATAGAACCGAAGGTTTGACTGATCATCATTTCTTTATTTGTCCTGAGTTTCCTGTATAGTTGTCTTAATTTAACTAACACAGTCGAAAAAGATGTGTTAAGTTTCCAGAGCCCGGTCCCCTAGGATTCTCACGGTAGAGTCCAGGATTGACCGCGTCGAGAACTCCTAGGGACTAGGCTGGTGCTTACGTACGTAGATTTTACTCGCGCAAATAAAGGGTGCGCTCAAACGTAAAGTTGAGCGAGGTTTTGACATTTGCTCTCATTTTTTCATTTAACGCCTTGATGATAAAAATGAATTCGCGACAATTTGGAAAATTTGCGCGAAACCACCGTCAAAAAATGAAAAAGGCCACTTCCGGTTGACGTGCGTCGCTCAAAAACGTTGTTGCTTAAGCTCCCTATTTGCTCTATTTCATTTACGCACGTGACGTTCAAAGAAGCTATTATCAAGGTCATATCTGTGTGTTGTTTTGTATATTCCTTCCTTCACACCTGGGCAATGAAGCAATGCAATCATGAAGCAATATTGCGTTATGTGTCATGCCATAGTTAATTGATGGTCATGCTATCAGCTTGGAAAAGAAGTGTCGAATATTTGACATCAAAACATACACGGTAACCACAAAAACGAATGGACAAGAAACATTAATTGCACGAAGAAAATTCGCACAAACATAAAAAAGTCCTTTGTTCTGGGGCATGTGAAGAAAGCAGAGCTTTGTGCTAATATATCCAAATCCGAAAGTTCGAAAACAAGAAAAAAGAGTAAAATTCTTTTTCCTGCCGCCTACTTCACAGACTTACCTACCGTTTGTTCGGCAATTTGATCAGTATTTGTAGCGCAACTGCTGGCCACCAAAATGTGGCCGTGAAAAATATAAGGAACATGTAAGTTATACATTTATACGTCCATTAAACGTCCGCGGGACTGCGGTAAAGCGAACCGTCTATTTTGTCTATCTTGAAAAAAGACTCCTTAGAGGCCAGTACGATGAATCACTTTTGCAAAACGTATCGTGGAAGAATGAAGGAAGTCTGGAATTCCCTCTGTTGACCTCTGTTCGTTTGCACAGCTGTGAAATGGACGCTGTTTTGCGGTGTTTTAATTCCACACTACAGTAGAATTCAAATAATAGCCAAATTTAACGTCTGCACCAAAGTTTATACAACATCTTGCATTAACCTTGACAAAAATAATGATTATATGATTTGTTGTAATCTGACCACGAGTTTTGTTTTAACGAACTTTAAAACTGCACAGTTAACCAAACGATTTAGCTGGACTTTGCTTGCTTTTCAGGTGAAGGCCTCTTTGTCTTAGTATTTCGCAATTTATTACACACCTGATGTAGTGCAGGCTACGCTCTGAACTGAAAGAATCAGTAAGGAGATAGGAAATGGATACAGTAGGAGGAGATGGTCAAATACCTAGAGATCAGTACTGTCAAACATGTCCTGCGGGTCTTAAAATTTTTTTAATGGAATAGGCCAACCGAGTTCCAAAACCTCTCACTTTTTAAACGAAGCTACGAGCAAAACCTTTCTTGTGAAAATGAATACTTGAACGGCTTCGTTCTTAGCCTCGCTTTGAAACAGACTCTGAAATGGCCTATTTCATTCATGATGAAGAACTTGGGTATATTTTTCATTTTCTGAATTTTTGTTTAGTAACAATAGTTTCAACGGACTCCAAAGTAGTGCAAAATTCCTTGGGAAAAGGGCGCTTAGAAATTCATATTTCGCCATTCCATAAAGTGTTTTTTTCCAAATTTGTATCGCTCAAGCACTCAACCTTTTCATCTTTTTTAAATCTATTCATTTTTTTCTAATATGATAGTTTTTAGAAGATGCTTATCGGCTGCTCAATGTCAAGTTACTGTTTTTGTAGTCAAGCACCTTTGAAAAATAAATATACTAATGAAATGAACGTTCTAAAAGTATATATTACATTATTACAGTATTAAAAATAACTCATAATCAATTTTTCGTGCATGAATTCATGTATTCTGTTAGCTGTTCTTGATTTCTCTTTACCCTTTATTCGTTTATTTATTCACTCATTTATATTCTTCTTTTTCTACTTCAGGTCCCGAGTTATGTGGCATCGTGCGCAATTCATAAGCTTCTAAACAAATGACCACAAAGAGCAGAGAACTCTGTACGTCTTCAAGTTGTACCTTCCGTTTTACGCAATAGCTAAGCCGGGCCAGTATACCGCGGACATCAAAGTTTTTTCGAAGTTCTAATACCATATTTTAATTAATTATTTAATTTCGTAGGTGGGTTTAAGTGGTTTATGTCATCGCAGTCCCTCACTTCAATTGTAACGGGACCATAGCAAAACAAGACAGACAGATAAAAAAAGATGGGCTTATGACGACCGGGAGAGCTCACAAGCGGAAGGAAATTTCTGTTATAGATGGGCTTATAACCCGGACGGGGCCGGGGGGGCTTATAGCCGGGATGTTACGTTGGCGTACTAAAGCGCACGGAAAATACTCCGGCTCCTCAATTGTCCCTTTCGTGAACGGTCGCTGCCATTTTAAAGACACTCCCATTTTTTGACCTGTTATTGAGAGTGTTTCTATTAAAAAGAAAGAAAATCGCAATCTCGTGTTCAATCCGGATATCGAACCGGACCACTGACTACACTCACTACCACTCTCTCCCTTACCACTACATTAACACATCAACCCCGCCAAAATTCCCAAAAATTAAAGTACATAGACTAGCAAACTGTCTTTCTTAACTTTTACACCAATAACAGGTGACCCTAGCCCTTTCCATAACTTTTAAAGTAAATTCAACTTGGGCTTCAACGTCGTTCCTTCTGAAAGACTATTTAAAAACGTATTATTTACCTTATGTAATTTAATCCAGAGAATATGTTACCTCTATCATGACTAAAGGCTTGGTCATCAATACTTGCGCCGACCGTTAAAAGTGGTAACGACCGTTTACGAAAGGGAGCTAGGCTTCGGTTCCATCGGTTTAGTCGAAACCGGTCCAGGGGCCCGTTTCTCGAAAGTTCCGATAATTAACGGGCCCGGTAAGCTGTCTCCGTTTACAGTAAAGATCGAGGTTTCAATAGTTTTGCATCTAACATGATCAAACTGTCATTTGCTAGCACCCGTTTATTCTTTATATTTCGATTTGAATATTTGATTTCGGGCCCGTAAAGTTACCGGGACTTTCGAGAAACGGGCCCCAGATCTCCCCTTCATTCAGTTTCCGGCCGTGGGGGTTTGTAATAGGGGATTAGATTTGGTCAAAAATTGAGTTCGAGTTAATCAGCGCGCGGCCAGCCGTTTTTTTTGAGCGGTATGGTGGCAAGTGAATATTGAGTTTCTTTTAACACCCTTAATCAGAACCGCCATGATCCACTCAGGCTAAGTTAGTTTGACCGTATTTTGTGTGATTAGACTGGCCGCGTAGCCTAGGGTGAAATGTTGGGAACCTAATTTTTTTTCCTGTTGAATCAAGTCAAAAACACTGTTTTCGAGAGTCAAATTTTGCTTTCAAAATAGATGCATGTGTCCAGGTTAAGCTTCATTAGGATACGTCGTTTAATAGTTCGACCAAACTGCGAAACTCGAGGAATTAACGCCGCCGTTATTGTTCCCTTGTTAGTTTTTCGTCAGCGAGTGTTGAACAATTTGTTTCCATGCGAGGAAGGGTTGAATTCCGATTCTGAAGATGATACAAAAGGACTGGCCACCGAAAGTGCAATGCTTCAAGACGTATCTTCTAAAGGACAGAAGGGCCAAAAACGAAAGCGAAGTGACGAGGAAGGTAGGATACGCAAAACTTTGTTTTAGCCTTTGAATTTGTAGTCGTACACAAGGGGGAATATCCTGCTTCATGGAAGTGTTAATGCCTTTAGCAATATGTTTATCCATTGAGGATACTGTTTTGACGTTCTCTGTTGGAGACGGGAACGTCATTACTACGTGGTCATCCGAGAAAAACGAATGGCTAGCAGGTTTTCAGCACTTATGTCCAGGTTTGCAGGGCCATCGATCGCAGTACCCTTTTCCCCAGTTATTCCTAGACCCTAAGTATTGGTCCTGAGGCCCGTTTTCTCGAAAGTACCGGTAACTTTTCGGGGCCGGAAAGCTGTTTTTTGTTTGCCGTGTTTGCATTCAAGATCAACGTTTCAATTATTTTGAAAATGATGCAATGAAACTATCAGTTAACGAAGCATGATTGACTGGCTTGTAAGCAACGACGTGTACTACCATTCAACAGGTATTTATTTTGAAATTTGCCTTTGTTCCTGAAAATTTACCCGGGCTTTTCGAGAAGCGGGTTACTGATCCGGGGATCTCCCGCAACCTCTCGCTTTGCAGACCATTTGACCCTAGCTGCAGAAAGGGACACGTCCTCAGCTGAGTCGACCCCTTTCAAACTCTTTATTTATTAAGTCCTAAATACTAGACGCAGTCCCCATAATGGGGAGTTCACGCAACCACGATGTCGACGGCCACGAGAACGTCAAAACTCAATAGGTTTTATGTGCAAAATAATTACAGTAAACTATCACACGTATACTGCAACCTTAAAATATTTGTGCTGCACAAAAACCGATAACCAGTTTGCGACGACTACTTACTATGTCAAGAACAAAGACAAACCGGAGAACAGACAGAGAGCAGTGTACAAGGTCTAATGCTGCGAATTCCAGGCTTCTTAGATTGGTGAAACCGGCAGAAACCTTAGCACGAAACACGATCATACTCAACCTACTTATAATTTCTTTTCGTAGAATACGCTTCATCAAACATCGACCTGCACTTAAAGGGCGAGAAATCCACATCGTTATATCATGTACAGCCTGAAGTTACTGAGAAGGGAATTTCAGATAATGCTTCAGCGTCTTCACAAGAAGAAAAACAGCGTACACGAAAGGAAACCACAAATTCTAATTTTGCCCAGGAACGTATAAAAAACTCGGGGCCAGTGAGTGGATCACAGTCTACAAGTGCTTCTGAGCAAGAATCTAAACTAGAACTAAAACTTTCCAAGAACCAGAAGAGGAAGATGAAGAAAAAGCGACACAAGGAACGTTTAATCAAGTAAGTAAACGCGGCGAATTCTACTGTTAGTTTATAGGGACCTTAGGAAACTAAGACAGCAAAAGGAACAAGAACTAAAAAACAATAGGTGTAGTGAACAGAACAACAACTCTGCACGGGCGTCACACTCGCGAGGCGAAGTCAGGCCTCGTCCACACGAATCCGGCATTTTTTGAAACCGCATAGTTGTTTTAATACCCAAATTCGTGTGGACGGGCCTACTCTGGAGATTTACTAGTTTCGAGTGGAAGGCCGAATCGTGTAAAAAAATATATATGCGGTATCGGGATTCGTGTGCACAGGGCCTCAATTTGACTCGTCCCTATTCTTCTCGGGGCTTTGCAGGCTTAACAAAAACAACAAGCAACACCGTGGAATGAAGTATAGTTGTGGCGATAAATCCCGCAGCAATGCAGGCTTTTTGGGTTCCCTCCTTCTAAGAAATATGGATCATGGCTTACTGCGCGCGTGTTGTGGATTTACCTGCCAAATGAGGAAGGCTTATATTCCATGTTTAGGCCTGTGTAGCGAGCGTTTCCGTGTGGTTTCGGAGCAAAGAAACAACTCTATCTTGCGTAGCAAGCGTTCTGTGCGGTTTCGGAGCAAAGAACGAGAAAAGAGAGTCAATGACCGTGCGAAAAATGGGGCGAGTTAAAGAGCGGGTTGGTGGGGAAGGAAGGAAAGAAACTTCCATTCCCCTCCCCACTCTTTCATTTTTTGGCTCTCGTTTCATTTTTCGTGCGGATAAAACCGAAAATCCCGTTCCTCGTCCTCCCTCAGTCATAAGAACCACGACGAAGTTCACGACGACGACGTCTGTTGACCGGGAAAAGACTGGAACGAGAACTTCAGTTTCCGCGGGGAAAAGGAAACTTAAGATGTAGTACATGTAGGTTGGTAGGTCGACGACGACGACATTGAATATAAACACAAATGAAAACCTGTGATGTTCGTTCGCAACAAAGTTTTTCGCAGTGGCGTCTTTTAAAACAATGCAAGATCTTTTTTTTTAAGCCGTACGTTTAATTTCATTGACGATGAAGAATTTTTGATGTTGTCTGACCTTTTCGAGTGGAAAAACACCTTCTTTCCGCACGAAATTATTCAACTTTCAACCTGAATGAGATGACCGAGTCCGAGTGTCTGTCAGAGTTTAGATTTGGAAAAAGAGACATTCTGGTGTGATAGCTGTTTTCCATGTGAAGTTTATTTCCTCTATATTAAAGATACTGATTTGCCTTACCTAAATTAAAATACGTACAAATAAATTTATCACTTACGAGTTCGGTCGCTCGGCCTTCACAGCTGTTGTCATTCTTCGAAGTAAAAACAATTCATTAGTCAAATTTTCAATCAACATCGCTTGTTAGGAGAAAAAAGGAACGATACCTGGATCTACGAGGATAAAAAAATGCAAAGGACTTCAAAAATCGCTTAAAACAGGGGATTTATACCTGCCGAAGCTTGTGGATTGCAGGACGACGTGATTCTACTTTGTTTGGCGTCGTCGACGATACGACGACGACGAAACTTACTGGTCGGGCTTGCGCAGTACACTGTAATTCACTTCCGGTCGTCGTCCTGGTTCTTAAGTTCCCTATTCTTTGCTCCGAAACCACGCGGAAACGCTTACTACGCAGGCTAATGTATCACACATTTTGTTTTAAAAGTTAGACCATAAACTTGATCAAACATGCTTTGTTAAAATTGACTATTATGGACACGTAAAATTTTGTTTTAGTGAGAAGCGGGCGAACCCAGTTCCACAAGAATTTACTTACGAAACTGGTTAAGTGGTTATGTCGAGGCTCAAGTTCGTTTTAGGAGAAAGAAGAAAGACGTTCAGCGGTCCTCAGGAACATTATTAAAGTTGGCACTAAAAGCTATACCGTAAATTGTTATCATAGCCTTAGGCTTCCACTGCAAATGCTCTAAGCCTGGCTTATCTATTATGCTCTGAGTAAAAGTAGCAATTTTTTTTTTCAAAATTATGCTCAACATTATGCTCATTTATGCAAAATAATGCAGATATTATGCTTCTACTTTTTACTTTAAATTTGGTAAAAACACCTCAATAGCTATCCAACAAACAAGTGCAAACTCATTTAACCTATTTACATCCAGAAATTTTACGAGTGCAGAGTTCATTACAGCCTAAATTTCAGACGTTTACTTCGAGTTTGGTTTCGGGTTTTTACTCCCTCAGTAACGACGTTACTGACTGAGGGAGAAAAAACGACTCGATTCGAAATTCAGGGTAAGTTCATTATAAATTCCCTCTGTATCACTGTCCTGCAAAGTATAGGCAGCGATAAGTGAATGTAAAAAGGTCAACTATTGAAAGAACAAAACTTTCTGACAAGTTTAAAATTAAACGCGCGATCGCAATCTTGGGTAACCGAGCAGTTAGGCACATGCGTTAAGTTCTGTAGAAAGAATCGTAGGTCACTTTCTGTCGGACCCAGGTCCCATGAATGTGAAAATAAGCAGCCAAAAAAAATATTTTGTTCGTTAACTTTGCCTGTAACTCTGATCTCGTGACAAAAGAATTGGTCGCATGGTCAATAAATGACAATTTTCTTCTGCAAAACTACGTAGCAGAAAGTGCAAATTATGCTAGCAATGCTTTTTTTCGGAAAAAAGGAGAAATTATGCTCGTAGTGACGAATTATGCCAAAAATTATGCTAGCACAATCGATAAGGGCCTAAAATGGACTGAAAGCATCAAAAATTCATCAACGGCAGAAACTCTTATTTGAGAATATATAGGCGGTAGACTGATATGAGTAATGACAAAGCTTTGACTAAAGTCAACAAACTGATCGGGGGAAAAAACCTGAGCATACAATTTTACAAATTTTCCTCTCTTTGTTGCCAAAGAAAGAAAAAGAAAACTTCCTAAGGTAAAAACGTGGAAAATACTAAAATACACACGACTACCAAGCTGATAAAAAAAACCGACTCGTGTTTCTGCCTGTGCGAGTTATACGCACGTTCCACGCGCGATGCGAATTTTGACGAAATTGGGCCTTCGCTTTACGGCCCTCGCTTCGCGAGGAATTTTGAATACATGCTTCCCAGTCGCTCCAGGCATAAAGATCGATAAATTTGACAAGTCCACATAGCTAGGCTTTGATAGATTGTACTAGGTCAATGTTTTTAGAATACGAGCATAATTGTTATCTATTTTTCTTTTGCCAGGGATTTTGCAAAAAAAAAGCACTACTAGCATGATTTGCGCTCTTGGCTGTTTTGTTTCTCAAAATTGTCATTTACTGATCATGAAACCAATGTTTTGGTTCCAGGTCAGTGTTACAGACAAATTAAAGTCAACAAAATCAATTTTTTTCTCTTCCTATTGTCACATTCATGGGACCTGGGTTTCACAGGAAGTGACACTGGACTCTTTCCACATGACTCAACCCATGGGCATAATTTCCTCGGTTACCCAAGATGGCTTTATTCGTTTATTGTTTAAGTTTTTAAGTGTCAGACAAATAGGGCAAATGTGCATCCCATCTACTCGCTTGTTCGTAGTTATTGAAGAGTTTTTACCAAATTTAAAGTAAAAAGTAGAAGCATAATTTCAGCTTTTTTGCTAAATTGAACATAAATTACAGAAACTAGCATAAATATTGACATAATTTTAGAAATGTACGAGTACTGCTCAGGCGGTGTGCGCACTACGACTGCGATGCATTGTGGATTCAAAATTTTCAAGATGGCGGCGAAGGTCGAGAAATTTCACAGGTTATATGCTTTATTTTTCAATAGATACAGTTCTTTCCTTAGATAGATTTTCTCGATTTCACAAGCTAATATTTGTTTAGATTTTTTCTGTGAAGAAAAACAAATCAATATTCTTCATTTCAATCTAAAACGTGGAGCCCGAAGATTCCTCCTGTAAGAGCATGAAAGAGGCTATAATTTCCATTATATTGCCCGTCGAAAGTAGAAGATAGTTGTAAGTGTTTCTACAAACCTTGTTCTACGCTAATTTTTTATCGCTCCCCAACGCGCCCCACGTTTTGTGATACTTTTTCCGAATTGAAACCGGCATGTTTTCATGGGAAAATGTAGCCTCGCGAAGACCAATGTGACATGTTACTGGAAGTGTTACTGTTGTAATCACAAGCTGATCACAAAATAGCGGGGCAGCGGCGACTGGTTCCTCCAAACAATAGCATTAGGTGGGCATAAAATGTTCGAAACTGGTATATAAATAGGCTGATGAGTACTCTGATGTAGGAATGTCTGTTTTTGTAATAGGACTAAAAAAGCATAATAAAATTGCAGTCATACATGTGACTCTCTTTATGCAGGTATAAAATCAGTAGGATTAGAATTACAGGTATTAAATTAAATGATAAGTTTGATTATACAGTTAAGCCCTGTGCATTTTGAAACCAGCAATCTACTTCCAAGATTGGTGTGTGTTGTTGTGTGGATGTTATGACTTTGTCAGTTTCTTGCCTAGTCCCTGTTTTATTCAGTGGTGATTAGCCTCCATAGCAGGCATTTAAAAGGAAAGGGAGAGGGGTTTTGGGCACAAGAGAAATGCGAAGAGTGCACAAGGAAGGAGGGAGTGATTTCAACATTCACCTGGTTGATGTTTATAATGCAAAAAACAATTAGTCTCCAGTATGGCAGGCATTTCCCTCCCTCCTTCCCTCACATTTCTCTTGCACTAAGACCCACTTTCCCTTTTCTTTGAAATGCCTGCCACACAGGCTAAGTGATGTCATTCAATCTGTTTACCCGTTTACACTGTTTAATATATATCAAACAATTTGCATATTTTTGTGGCTTTAGTTAAAATATAAATTGCTTGATCATTGAATGTGCTTTTGATATTGGAAAACCAAGGCTGAATGGTGACAGGGAAAGGAAATAGAAAAAGTGGAACGAAGGGGCAGTGAAATCATGAGACTAAGAACCTGAATTAACTAAGTAAGCCTAAACAGATTCTTATATAAATAGAAGTTAGCACAAGTTTAGGGTATGGTTTTTAAATGGGTTCATATTTTCTGAAGTAAAAATGTAGCTAAGAGTATTTGTGTTTCACCTTATTCCTCATATAAAGTCTGCATACCAAATTAGAAGTTATGTGAGAATGGACATAAAAAGAGGAATGTACTTAAATTTAAACATTGGCATTTACATTGCAGTTGGAGTGATAAGACAGCTTTGTCTCCAAAGAAGATTCTAAATGTTGATTTATCTCTGCTCAAGTGTACAGAATTTTTTCATAGATTTCAAAAATAAGAACCTGTTTCAAATTTTAAGCTAAACAGGTTTTTTATATAGGGGGGCTCATCTGGCATAATTTTATTTTAGCTGAACAGGTTCTTGAAATTCAGGTTCTAAGTCAGGGGGTTTTACTGTACCACTAGGATCCACCTCTGCAATAACTGGTAACCCAAAAGCCCTCTTTACGGACAACCGCTTCATACAGACACCTGATCAAGGCTGTGCTCTAGCAGAGCCCTGTGGCCCCTGGTACCTAACTTTTGCTTTTGGGTGACTAGAAAATCTCAGACTTTTCATACAAATCATATGCTGGGCAGCCTAGATTTTACAGGTTCAGAGAACTAGGCTCCTTTCAATGTTCCTTAGAGCACAGCCTTGCTCATCATTACAGATAGCTTGCTTTGTTCCCTGGAAAAAAGCCCTTAACTTTTCTCTAAATTAAGATGGTTAATTTCTATGGTCCCCTCAGTGTCTGTATAACAGAATTGACTGTGAGTATGATGAGACCTATGACACCATATTTAAATTATAAAAATTGGGGTGAGGAGAAAGGAAAGGGGTCTCAAGCTATGTTGCCCCAGCCCTGATAACAGGGGATTTGTAAACATGTATGAATTTCACATTTTGAAGAGTTTTTATAATCCAAAAAAAATATGTGATAACATGTGTTTGTACATACTGACACAATCATTAAACAAATATTGGCTGCAGCTTTTAAAATCTATTGACTGCATCAGGCTTTGTAATCACAAATATGCCATTTTCAGTTTCAATCCAGTTATAAAACATTCTATGACTCATACCAATAGAGAAATATGGCAAAAAAAGATGCTCAATATTATATTATCTATAAAGAGGACACAAGTTCACTGTACACAAATACTCTCTACTTTATTTACTTGTCTTCATGTGATGATAAATACAGATGTTAAGCAAAACGAAATGCAAACTTGGTGCCAACAGAGAAACAAGTCCTCGAAACGATGACCCCCTCAACTTCGATTCTCTTATTACAGCTAGCAAGTGAACATCTTGCAATGCTGAATGACAAAACAAAATAAGCTCACTGTGTTTAAATACCGTTGCCGGGTATTCTGAAGAAGCTCCTAGTATCTTATGAGTATATCACAGCTATGCACATCAGTACCTCTCTGACCTCTTAGCACTAGTTGCACTGATTTCACG